CAACAAAATTTAATACTATTAGAGATCCAAAAATTACATGTGATGGTTGTACTACTAATATTAAGACGTTAGCATTGCTATGCTGCAATTTATCTGCAGATATTAAACCGAAATTATACGTTATAGAAGAAAGACCTTTGGTATAGGATTTCTTATGAATATAAGTAGTTTTGATAAGCTTGCATTAGAAATGTTAAATCTTCAAATGCCTACAATTTTGTGAGAAAATAATTCAATAAGTTTTTGCCACATCCGAATACAATTAGCAAAAGGTACTCATCAGTGAAAGGTTCTCCAGGATACACATATAAAGCATTTCGAGCAATTAAGATTAAAGCTAAGCAACAAAAAACACCTTGGAAGAGAACTGGTCTGTTCATTAATTATGGATGAAAGGTCTATACGAGAACACACTGATTGAAATAGGACAGTAAATATAGGATATACTGATTTTGAAGTGCATATGGACAGCGACTGGTAGGGGTAGATGTCTACTGGAAAATTCCAAATGCATACTTTCTAATTAATTCAATGAGCTCCTCAGAAAAAGCTGAGAACATACGTCACCGATCTGGAAATAACTGTAATTCTTCAGCACTACTATTTAGGCATAATCATTATAGTAATCACGTGTTTCCGAATTACAATCAATAGAATCTTCATCTATAATAAGCTTAGAAACCATTCCAAATGTACATTCATATTCGTTACATGACAATAAAGAAAGAAATTTTGAACCGTTTTGTACAAATGAACCACTGAATCATTCTTCAACTGAACCACCCGCTATTTTAACTCGTGTGCTTGCAACACCAACTATAAATCTAGTTACAATCAGCTTTGAAGATGTAGTAGCGATGATGTCGTATGAATATTGCTTTGCTACGATATGAGCTACAGTACGAGATCCAGTGCTCGTAATTATGATAGTCTGAATGGGTATGCAACAATGATAGGGTCACTGCCTGGTCTCCTTGTGAGCTACACAACTAAGAATCGAAAGTGTAGATTGTGCGACAAAGGTATACCAAATATGACCATGATTGTCGTCTGAATTTTTTCGATACAGCCAAACCAATGGAAGCTGAATAATAATATATTGAAATCAAACAATGTAAAAATTGGAGTATTTATCACCGACAATTATATTTCAAGTCCTTGTGCTCTCAGGAATAAAATGAACCGCTCGTTCGTGAAGCAATCAGATAGGAATCATACGTGTAAAGGCGTAAAAAATCTATTATATAAAACTGCTAACAAAAAAGAAATCAGCAGATTAACTGGTGATGCGATACAATATTTACATCGTTGTTTCACCTATGCGATACCTTACCATGCATATGATAATTATAACAATTGTGGAGAATGGTGCGGATATCGCAAAGACCCCGAATATTATACCCACACAACAACAATTCTACCCGAAAAATTTCAGAACGAAGGTCTTCGTCAAGAATTAATAAAAATTTTTGAGCAACTAAGCAATAGCGTGGCCAAATTTTGTACACTGGCATCAACTCAAGCCAATAAAACCTTGAATGGAATCAGCCAATCAGAATCTTATGATTGTAGGGTTGCATGTGCGGTTGGTCAAAAAAATCGTAGGCATCAGTATATTCAAGATATATTGAAAAACGCTAGTAGAAGTGTCGACACTTGACAAAGTACATACAACAAATGGAAAAATCGCATTGAGTAAGAGCTTTAAAAGCAAAAACGCCGAAGTTCAATAAAACCCGTCAATTTTTGAAAAAAGTGCGTACTCAAACATTCTAAGGAATTAGTTGAAGAAAATAAGTATGAAAGTCATATTGCCTTATTAACAATACATGTAGAAAAATCTATTAATTGTAATCCTAGCAATGCTGACTTCGTGCAACTTTCTTTCAACATTAACTTTGGACATACAAATCAAACAACAGTTTTCTTCGATTAAGAAGTGTACAGGAGCCGAATTTTCTACGGCTTGTTATCCAAAGACGTTAGATGTTTAGCATATAAGTATGCTGTTGCTTGTAAAGTAAAATATGCTCAAAAGTGGAATGAAATGAAACGTGCTTCCGTAAACTGGCTTTCAGGCTTCCTAAAAAGACATCGGAAACTCTCTCTACGGACGCCAGCGGCAACGAGCCTCAGAAGGGCCACAAGTTTCGATGCTTACAACATTGATCAATTTTATAACAATCTGGATGAAGTTTTTAAAAGGTATAAGTTTGAGGCACATCAGGTGCGGAATGTAGATGAAACCGGCGTCACCACAGTACAAAAATCGCCAAAAATTAGCAGAAAAGGGCACAACAGTAACCATTGAGTTTGCGGTAAGCGCCAGTGGAAACTCCATCTCCCACTATTCGTGTTCCCTCGAGTCCATTCCAAACCTTACTTTATTAGAGAAGGACCACCTGGTTGTCTCGGAGCTGCTCACCCTAGTGGATGGATAACAGTCTATTTTTTTAGAATGTGTGAAACACGTACAGGCTTCTGCAGACTCTCCTGTATTAGTACTCTTAGATAACCACATTTCTCATTTGTCAATAAGTACTCTAGACTTTTGTAAAGCAAATGGAATCGTCTTTTTTTCCTTTCCACCCCAAAATTTACAATACAATAATCAGCTTTCAACGACAAGGAATTCAAGAACATGTTGTGTCGGAACTCCTGAAAAACGGCTCCCAGGTACAAGTCAAATCAGTTTAATCACCCCCGAAGAAGTAAGACCATATCCGAAAAAATAATAGGCAAAGAAAAAAAGGAAAATCTCTCATCCTTACGGATACTCCGATTAAAGGAAGAAGAAGCAAGGGAAGCTAAAAACAATAAAAACCTAAATGCGGCAAAAAGAATCTCAACGTCATGGTGAAGACGATGATTGTCTTTGTAGTATTTGTTTTATGTCATATTTCGAAAGTAAAAGCGGAGAAGGCTGAATTCAAAGTACAGAGTATAAAAAATGGGCTCATGAACGCTATGGAGGGAACGACCCATTCTATATCTGTATGCACTGTTCGTCTGATTTGTCTAATCAGCGCGATTCCGATAGTGATTAGTTCTAGAGTTTTACTACAGATTTCGTTTGTTTATGTAGTACACCTGTTTGTTTTTGAAAAAGTTATTTGAAATAAACTTTCCATGCTCATTGTTTTGCCTATTTTTTGTGTTTCTGCGAGTACATAATTTTGTATGTGTAACAACTTACCCTAACTCAGTAACAACTTGACCCGCAGTGGGTCAAATTGTTACATATTGCCGAGTAACATAATACTGATAATCTCTGTGACCACTAAACTTCTATAAAACGCAAAAAAAACCAGGACATCTCTATAGGTACACTTAATTCATGTTAAAAAAGTCACAAAAAAAATGTAGTTGAAATGTAACAACTAGCCCCGGTCTCCCTTACTTTAGAGGCTATGTACAACAGTTCTGAAAAACTGAAAAATAACTTATCATCATATGTATAACCATTAAACAGGCCAAGACCTGCTCGTGTCCTATCGCCTTTACAGAGTGTTATACTATTATATTTTGTTTATGTTTGATCTCGTTGTTGTACGATAATGCTCGTACCATAACCTTTTGTTGGCAACTAGCGACACTCTCGCCTCGACTCTTACTGTTTTATCATCGTTGAGTTGTTTTGTATGTAACCAGTGTTCCTTTATGTATGTTTCATTTATTACTTGCCAACATTTTTCTTAGAACAATTAACTTAACTTCCCATGCGTCAAAAATCTTAATTAGAATTGTACAGATGTGGATATAAAAAAGGGCGGAAGAACTATTAAGGGAAGATCAATTTGGGTTTAAAAGAAATAGAGGAAGGAGGGGGGCCATTTAAGCTTTACGGGTAACAATAGAGAAAGCGACAGAAAAAAGAAAGAGGGCGTACATAGAATTTGTAGATTTAGAAGAAGCTTTTCACAATGTTAAATGGGATAAGATGATAAATACAGGGCTTGTCCGGAAAGTAATAGGACTGAGTCGATTTAAAAAAAATTATTTAGCCAATCGTTACAATTCTTTAAAAACATTCAAAATAGCCTCCTTCTGCGTCGAAGCAGCGCTGCCAGCGCGATTTCCAAGCATTGAAGGCAAGTGGTTTAAGGGTGGGGGCCGTGTTGGTGCAGTTTAAAACAATGGCAAACGCGTAATAGAATATTTCAACCAACAAACCACTAATGATTAATGTCACTATCATTCGAATTGGAAACGATGGCGGTAGTGAATGCTTTGCGATTTTTTTGAGTGTACGAGGGTGGATTGATAAGTTTCCGGCCTAACCAAGAGATGACGCCACTAGGCCTACCTTGAGGTGACATTCTATAGTACCATCCTTGGATAGCTTGTAGCTATAGTTTCAGCCCGATCTCCTTGCTAGTGTAGGTTTGNCAGCAACTGGGTACGCCGCTGTTAGTGTTGCATTGAGGCGAATGGCGGACAATTTCAACATTTTTTATAAAAGGTACGCTTTTCTTTTTCACTTTTACCTTTTTTTTACAAGGTGGAAGTGCATTCGGCTTCTTCCCGATAGCTACTTGTTCATCCACACTAGATCAGCTGAGCGACGTTAATCGCCTAGATTCAGGCCCGTAATGAAGCAAATTGTACGTTCAAATTTACAAAGACGATTTGCGGGCTCAATTGTCACTAGATTGAAAAATTGTATAACACTTTTTTGTTGTATTTTGTGTCAGGAAGCCATGTTTTTTTTAGTTATTATAAATGGGACACCCTGTATAATATCCAGTAATGTCTCATGTTTACGCGTACCTATCATTTTATATAATCTTACTATAATATTTATAAAAGAACTTCTAGCTTGTTGAAATAAATAAATAAAACAAAAAAAAAAGTAGGAGAATGAAAACAACTTTTTTAATAAAATGGCAAGCAGGAGCTTTGCAGGTATTTAACCGCAAAAGAAAAACAATACCCTCATTCAATTTTTGACTATTAAAATATCACTTCTTCCAAAAAAAAAAGAACAAAACAATTTACAGTTAAGGGTTCAAAAATCAATATTTATTAGCATTTGCTCCACTTTTATCTTTCCTTAACATAATGTTTCTATGTAAACGTTATCCCTAAGGGTGGCAATTTTATTAAATAAATGTTTCACCTTTTTACAATTAGACCTATTTACACAATATATTTCTCATATGCTGTAGTTAGTTGTACAAAAGTAACAAAGTATGAGTACCTAAACATGCAAATATAAATGCAAAAAGGTAAACTTTGCCGCATTTTTCTTAGTATCAGTTATGATTTAATCTTAATTAGCATGATTAAAATATAATTTAACATGATTACAAAGTAATTTGATGTAACATTCTAGAGGTTTCGTGCAAAACTTCTTGTTCAAATTGTACAATACTAACTTGAGCGCTGGAGGTCGTTTTATAGTACATTCTTAAGGCACAATAAAATGTTAAAAAAGTGGTTTTGCGATGTTTCTAGAATATATATACAAGTTACAAGAATATATTTATATGTACCTAGTTATAAGTCATAATTCGAGCCTAGCGGGGTGGTATATTTATTAGGTACAAAAATAAATTGCTTTATGGGGCATTCAAGTATTACATAAGCAGGCGTAGGGATGGAAGAGTTCAATTTTTTTTTTATTTTTACTGACAGAATAAGAGCGGAGGGGAACAGACAGATAAAAAGTACAAAGTAATTAATAACTTTAAATGAGAAACATGTTTTGATTTTTTGCCTTATGTCTCTGGTTGTTACGTCATTTACTAATTCCATTAAACTTATTTTGGAAGGTTTGAATAGAAGGTCCTGTAATATCATCCAAAATTAGAAATTACTGTTTAATGACATTATACACATCACTAAATTCCTTTCCAATGATACATTCTCTACATTTTTATAAAAAAACTTAGGGTACATCAATAGGCTCACCTACATCCCCTTTATATGCTGATGTGACGAGTGATTTAGAGAATTAATTCTTATAAGCATTAAATACTAAGTTCAATTGCACTCCTTTGTTCTATTATGGGTATGATGATGATACAATCCTATGTGCACCATCCAAGTCAATTGAGGATATTTTGAATGTTTTCAATAGTAACCATCAGTAACTTCAATTTACATACGAAATTCAGAATAATAATTGCATTTTCTTGGACACTACTATCACCACAATCATCATAAAAGTAACTTTATAAACTGGTTCTTCAAACCTACCTCATCAACTGAAAAAAATGCGGAACTTACAGAAAGTAATACGACTCTACAAAACAAGAAATTAAGTAAATGTTTGTACGTTCGACAGTTCACCGTTTTCGAGAAAAACGTATTGGAACAATATGATCCCTCTTTTCACGGTCAATTTGTTATTGTTATATTATCGGAAATTGCCGATATAAGGGGCCATTTAGGAGGGAATAGAGGAGGATGGAAACCGAGCAAGAGACTTACTCAAGCAATCGAATTACACCAACGTTTCAATTTATTTCTAGACTTTGTAGAAGACAACCCCCAAAGTAGAACACGCGAAATGGCACCGGATATTGAAAATCAATAAAAATATGCTTTTGTAATACTTGAACGATCTCTTACAACATATTCGATCTTATTTTAGATACATATGCGCTATATAATACTAAATTTTTTTTCAAGAAAGATATACATGTAGGTGTAATTAATTTGTCATTTCTTTTATAATGCTATTTGCAATAACCAGTCTTTGAATTTCGGAAGTACCTTCGTATATTTCTGTTATCCTCGCATCTCTGTAATGACGTTCTGCTGGCATATCTGACACATATCTAATGAAAATAACAATTAAATAAATGTAATTACACCAAAATAATTTTATACTTACCCCATTCCTCCTAATATCTGTATACATTGATGACTCAAAAAAGTAGCTGCTTCGCTGGCAGCAAGTTTGGCCATAGCGGCTTCTTTGGTGTAGGGTTTATTATTGTCTTTTAACCATGCAGCTTTCCACGTTAATAATCTTGCTGATTCTAATTGTACAGCCATATCTGCCAGTTTATTTTGGATTGTTTGTAATTTTAAAATAGACTTTCCAAACGCTAGACGTTTTGATGCATACTCGACGGCGCATTCTAGTGATGCCTGAGCAATTCCCAACGCTTGACTGGCAATACCTATTCGCCCAGCATCTAAAGTCATCATTGCGATCTGTATGATAAAAAAGTTATTGTAAATAAATCTCAGTAGAAGATTTATAAGAAAAAGGCTCATTTAAAAGCTACAAATTGGTAGTGTAAAGGTTTTTCCTTGGTGAAAAATTGCGTTACCTTCATTGATGTGGAGGAGAATAGTGGAGAGGGCTCGCTTATGCGAAACTGACAAATGTCAAGGAGACCTAATACAATTAAATTACCTTAAATTTTTACTCGCCTAGAACTTATGCATTTGAACGTAACAAATTAAATTGGCCTTATAGCGCAACATTAAGAACCTGGCTCTCTTCTGTTAATTAAGAAGATGGTTTTAAGACAAAAGTATTTCAATATTTAAAAATACAAGCTTCAGAAAACGATTATTTGAAAGATGTTACATTGATTTTTGATTCAATGACAATACAAAGCTCTATTGTTTGTGATATGTGAATTATGGTGGTATTGCTAATACTACTGATGAAGAATTGGCTACTGAGGCTCTAGTTTTTGAAATTGTTTCATTCACTACGAAATTTCAATGTTCCATAGCGTCTTTTTTTGTTAACCAAATATCTGCTTCTTTACAACAAAATTTAATACTATTAGAGATCCAAAAATTACATGTGATGGTTGTACTACTAATATTAAGACGTTAGCATTGCTATGCTGCAATTTATCTGCAGATATTAAACCGAAATTATACGTTATAGAAGAAAGACCTTTGGTATAGGATTTCTTATGAATATAAGTAGTTTTGATAAGCTTGCATTAGAAATGTTAAATCTTCAAATGCCTACAATTTTGTGAGAAAATAATTCAATAAGTTTTTGCCACATCCGAATACAATTAGCAAAAGGTACTCATCAGTGAAAGGTTCTCCAGGATACACATATAAAGCATTTCGAGCAATTAAGATTAAAGCTAAGCAACAAAAAACACCTTGGAAGAGAACTGGTCTGTTCATTAATTATGGATGAAAGGTCTATACGAGAACACACTGATTGAAATAGGACAGTAAATATAGGATATACTGATTTTGAAGTGCATATGGACAGCGACTGGTAGGGGTAGATGTCTACTGGAAAATTCCAAATGCATACTTTCTAATTAATTCAATGAGCTCCTCAGAAAAAGCTGAGAACATACGTCACCGATCTGGAAATAACTGTAATTCTTCAGCACTACTATTTAGGCATAATCATTATAGTAATCACGTGTTTCCGAATTACAATCAATAGAATCTTCATCTATAATAAGCTTAGAAACCATTCCAAATGTACATTCATATTCGTTACATGACAATAAAGAAAGAAATTTTGAACCGTTTTGTACAAATGAACCACTGAATCATTCTTCAACTGAACCACCCGCTATTTTAACTCGTGTGCTTGCAACACCAACTATAAATCTAGTTACAATCAGCTTTGAAGATGTAGTAGCGATGATGTCGTATGAATATTGCTTTGCTACGATATGAGCTACAGTACGAGATCCAGTGCTCGTAATTATGATAGTCTGAATGGGTATGCAACAATGATAGGGTCACTGCCTGGTCTCCTTGTGAGCTACACAACTAAGAATCGAAAGTGTAGATTGTGCGACAAAGGTATACCAAATATGACCATGATTGTCGTCTGAATTTTTTCGATACAGCCAAACCAATGGAAGCTGAATAATAATATATTGAAATCAAACAATGTAAAAATTGGAGTATTTATCACCGACAATTATATTTCAAGTCCTTGTGCTCTCAGGAATAAAATGAACCGCTCGTTCGTGAAGCAATCAGATAGGAATCATACGTGTAAAGGCGTAAAAAATCTATTATATAAAACTGCTAACAAAAAAGAAATCAGCAGATTAACTGGTGATGCGATACAATATTTACATCGTTGTTTCACCTATGCGATACCTTACCATGCATATGATAATTATAACAATTGTGGAGAATGGTGCGGATATCGCAAAGACCCCGAATATTATACCCACACAACAACAATTCTACCCGAAAAATTTCAGAACGAAGGTCTTCGTCAAGAATTAATAAAAATTTTTGAGCAACTAAGCAATAGCGTGGCCAAATTTTGTACACTGGCATCAACTCAAGCCAATAAAACCTTGAATGGAATCAGCCAATCAGAATCTTATGATTGTAGGGTTGCATGTGCGGTTGGTCAAAAAAATCGTAGGCATCAGTATATTCAAGATATATTGAAAAACGCTAGTAGAAGTGTCGACACTTGACAAAGTACATACAACAAATGGAAAAATCGCATTGAGTAAGAGCTTTAAAAGCAAAAACGCCGAAGTTCAATAAAACCCGTCAATTTTTGAAAAAAGTGCGTACTCAAACATTCTAAGGAATTAGTTGAAGAAAATAAGTATGAAAGTCATATTGCCTTATTAACAATACATGTAGAAAAATCTATTAATTGTAATCCTAGCAATGCTGACTTCGTGCAACTTTCTTTCAACATTAACTTTGGACATACAAATCAAACAACAGTTTTCTTCGATTAAGAAGTGTACAGGAGCCGAATTTTCTACGGCTTGTTATCCAAAGACGTTAGATGTTTAGCATATAAGTATGCTGTTGCTTGTAAAGTAAAATATGCTCAAAAGTGGAATGAAATGAAACGTGCTTCCGTAAACTGGCTTTCAGGCTTCCTAAAAAGACATCGGAAACTCTCTCTACGGACGCCAGCGGCAACGAGCCTCAGAAGGGCCACAAGTTTCGATGCTTACAACATTGATCAATTTTATAACAATCTGGATGAAGTTTTTAAAAGGTATAAGTTTGAGGCACATCAGGTGCGGAATGTAGATGAAACCGGCGTCACCACAGTACAAAAATCGCCAAAAATTAGCAGAAAAGGGCACAACAGTAACCATTGAGTTTGCGGTAAGCGCCAGTGGAAACTCCATCTCCCACTATTCGTGTTCCCTCGAGTCCATTCCAAACCTTACTTTATTAGAGAAGGACCACCTGGTTGTCTCGGAGCTGCTCACCCTAGTGGATGGATAACAGTCTATTTTTTTAGAATGTGTGAAACACGTACAGGCTTCTGCAGACTCTCCTGTATTAGTACTCTTAGATAACCACATTTCTCATTTGTCAATAAGTACTCTAGACTTTTGTAAAGCAAATGGAATCGTCTTTTTTTCCTTTCCACCCCAAAATTTACAATACAATAATCAGCTTTCAACGACAAGGAATTCAAGAACATGTTGTGTCGGAACTCCTGAAAAACGGCTCCCAGGTACAAGTCAAATCAGTTTAATCACCCCCGAAGAAGTAAGACCATATCCGAAAAAATAATAGGCAAAGAAAAAAAGGAAAATCTCTCATCCTTACGGATACTCCGATTAAAGGAAGAAGAAGCAAGGGAAGCTAAAAACAATAAAAACCTAAATGCGGCAAAAAGAATCTCAACGTCATGGTGAAGACGATGATTGTCTTTGTAGTATTTGTTTTATGTCATATTTCGAAAGTAAAAGCGGAGAAGGCTGAATTCAAAGTACAGAGTATAAAAAATGGGCTCATGAACGCTATGGAGGGAACGACCCATTCTATATCTGTATGCACTGTTCGTCTGATTTGTCTAATCAGCGCGATTCCGATAGTGATTAGTTCTAGAGTTTTACTACAGATTTCGTTTGTTTATGTAGTACACCTGTTTGTTTTTGAAAAAGTTATTTGAAATAAACTTTCCATGCTCATTGTTTTGCCTATTTTTTGTGTTTCTGCGAGTACATAATTTTGTATGTGTAACAACTTACCCTAACTCAGTAACAACTTGACCCGCAGTGGGTCAAATTGTTACATATTGCCGAGTAACATAATACTGATAATCTCTGTGACCACTAAACTTCTATAAAACGCAAAAAAAACCAGGACATCTCTATAGGTACACTTAATTCATGTTAAAAAAGTCACAAAAAAAATGTAGTTGAAATGTAACAACTAGCCCCGGTCTCCCTTACTTTAGAGGCTATGTACAACAGTTCTGAAAAACTGAAAAATAACTTATCATCATATGTATAACCATTAAACAGGCCAAGACCTGCTCGTGTCCTATCGCCTTTACAGAGTGTTATACTATTATATTTTGTTTATGTTTGATCTCGTTGTTGTACGATAATGCTCGTACCATAACCTTTTGTTGGCAACTAGCGACACTCTCGCCTCGACTCTTACTGTTTTATCATCGTTGAGTTGTTTTGTATGTAACCAGTGTTCCTTTATGTATGTTTCATTTATTACTTGCCAACATTTTTCTTAGAACAATTAACTTAACTTCCCATGCGTCAAAAATCTTAATTAGAATTGTACAGATGTGGATATAAAAAAGGGCGGAAGAACTATTAAGGGAAGATCAATTTGGGTTTAAAAGAAATAGAGGAAGGAGGGGGGCCATTTAAGCTTTACGGGTAACAATAGAGAAAGCGACAGAAAAAAGAAAGAGGGCGTACATAGAATTTGTAGATTTAGAAGAAGCTTTTCACAATGTTAAATGGGATAAGATGATAAATACAGGGCTTGTCCGGAAAGTAATAGGACTGAGTCGATTTAAAAAAAATTATTTAGCCAATCGTTACAATTCTTTAAAAACATTCAAAATAGCCTCCTTCTGCGTCGAAGCAGCGCTGCCAGCGCGATTTCCAAGCATTGAAGGCAAGTGGTTTAAGGGTGGGGGCCGTGTTGGTGCAGTTTAAAACAATGGCAAACGCGTAATAGAATATTTCAACCAACAAACCACTAATGATTAATGTCACTATCATTCGAATTGGAAACGATGGCGGTAGTGAATGCTTTGCGATTTTTTTGAGTGTACGAGGGTGGATTGATAAGTTTCCGGCCTAACCAAGAGATGACGCCACTAGGCCTACCTTGAGGTGACATTCTATAGTACCATCCTTGGATAGCTTGTAGCTATAGTTTCAGCCCGATCTCCTTGCTAGTGTAGGTTTGACAGCACGCTGAACAAGACGCCTCTGTGGTTTTCGTAAAAATGG